TCCGACACCACCGAGCGCAGCTCCGAGTCCTTCCCCTGGTCCTTCTTCTGCTTCGTGCGCCGGTTCTGGAACCAGACCTTCACCTGCATCCCGGGCGCGGGGAGGGCGGGAGAGGGGAGCAGGGGAGACGGGCGTCAAGGGCAGCGGGCTCCCGGGTGCGAGGTCTCCGGGGGCCCTCCCGCAGCCTCAGCCCCAGCCCCACCCGCCGCGGGAGAGGTCCGGCTGGGAGCTGAGGGGGTGCGGTGGGGGTGGGGGACCAGGACCGCCAGGTGCGGGGACGCGGCTCTGCTAGGCTGCACTTCCGGGCCAGGGAAGCAGGCCCTGGCTGGCCAAGGTTGCCAAAAAAGTAATAAAAATGTCCACGACCTTAACTCGAAAGACCAGAAAGGATTTCACTGGGGAGGTTGCACTACCGGGAGCTGGGCTGCTGATCCGTGAGGCCTGAGGATGCTGGGGGGAAGTGGGAAGTGCGGGTAGGTGGGGACCCAGGCCCCTGGCCAAACTGGCTCGCAGTTAGCCCCCGCAGCATTACTGTTGAAGCCTACCAGCAGCTGTGTCTTGCTTACGCGTGTGAGACTTGACCAGCAGCTAGCAGCTAGCAGGGAAGGTGGTTGTGGAAGGAATAATTTGTGCAATGTGGACTTTATAGGCCAAGCTTTCCCCACCTAGTCTCACCACCAGCTGGTTTGGAGGGGCTGAGGGATACTCCATTTACCACTCCGCTGCTCTCCAGCACGACTTTGGAGCCGCTGGAGAAAGTCGGGAGGCTGCACTGGACTAAATCTCTCCACCTTCCTCCCCCCCTCCTCCCTCTGTCCCCCTTCAGGCCTAGCGGGTGGCCCAGAATGGAGTTGGGCAGCTATAGGGAAAGGTTATCCTGTCTAGGTTTTGTAAACTATACTAAGAGAGGTGGTAGCCGGGAGACTAGGGGAAAGCTACTATGCCGACTCAGGCTCGGAAAGAACGACCGATCTGCTCTGTCCTTGGTTCTGTTTTCTGTCCAGATCCTAGACCTACGATGTTCCCCCCACCTGCTTCCTGGCTGGGTACAAGGAAAGGGACTGATGCTCAGAAAACAATGTGTGTCTTAGCTAGGCCAAGCCGGTGCCATCCCTGGCCAGGCCCCAAAGGGCCTCCACAAGGCAAACCTCTCAGGCCCTAAAGTGGCTCTGGGCTGAGTCCAAATAGCCAGCTCCATAGCATCGTATGGATTTCATGTAAAGCTAAAGACCTAAAAAGCACAGTTGGCAGTGCTGGCTTGCAGGGCCCCAGATCTGTCTCCCGCCCCATACCTCATCCATCGGCACACAAGACAGGGCCTCCTAGGTGTCTGGCGTAGGTGCTCAGGGCTGAGAATGGGGTAGCTTGGGACCAGGAGAAGCCTTAAAGGTCCGGCAGCCAGGTCTGCACAGGCAGATATTAGGAATGTGCACCTTTCTAATCCTAGTTGTCACAGCGCTGGAGCAGGGGGCTTTGGCCCTAGGTTTTTGGCCCATGGCAGAATGGGCCTGGGTGTTGTGTAAGGCTCAGGTCCCCAAAGGGAGGGGTGTGCCTGGAAATCTGGCCAAAATGAGGTAGCCAAAACAGGGTGAACATCAGTTCCTTGTAGACCAGAGACAAGCAAGGAATTCTCAAGACTGGGGTCCAAAAAGAATTCCCAAAGGACAGGATCTGGGGCCTCCTGGGCTAGGCCAAGTGAGCAGACCATGGGCCCTGGAATATTTGAGGGTATGGGGGGAAAGGGAAGGATTATGGAAGGGAAGAAAGCCTCCCCCCCTCTGTCCCCCAGGGAGGCTCTGTCCAGAGCCAGACTAGGTGGTGAGTAAGCGCTGGCTGGGGTCGTGGGGAGGAGGCCGGCGCCGAGCTGTGTACCTGGGTCTCGGAGAGGTTGAGCTGCCGGGCGAGCTCGGTCCGCTCGCGGCCCACCACGTACTGGCAGCGCTGAAACTCCATCTCCAGCCGGTAGAGCTGCTCCGCGGTGAAGGACGTGCGCGTCCTCTTGGGCCGGTCCAGGTCCAGCCCCTTGGGCAGGATGATCTCTCGGATGGACCCCTTGGCATCTGGGGAAGGGGAAATATCAGTCGCCAGAGCCTCCGCCTCTCCGGCCGGAGCTGGCTCCTGGAACAGGCGCCATCGGCCTGAAGTTCA